ATTACTAGAGTAAGATTAATAATTTACAAACCATTTACAAAGGCCTTCTTTGTTAGGCCTCCATTCAAAAAATGTCTACATACATGAGTAGTCTTAGCAATACTGTACAAACAAAATATGGAAGTGCTTCATGTGTTCACATGAGTGCATTCATGTGGAAGTGCTGGAAAGGCTGCATGTGGAAGTGTGCTACTGAAGTACAACCGTAATCATGCCTGCGCACATCAAGTGAGGTGCATGAGCCTATCAAGAGCAAAAAAAAAATGTAATCCCATTTAAACAGACACATATCCAGCTTGAAAAAGATCAAAATTAGAAGAACATTTCTTTCAAAAAATGATAGCTAGATTTTTTTAAACTGAGTTAACAGCTAAGTTACTTATTTATTTTTAAAAATAAAAGTTAACTAATTTGTGTAGGCTACTCACATACCAAAAGTAAGCTCTCCCTATCAAAAAAAGGGAGCAAAAAGGCACATAAAAAATAGGCAGACGCTTTCAACCAGTACTCAAAGCAATTTTAATTGGTATTTACTGAAGGAATACGTTCCAAGGTGATAATGTCCCTTTAAAACACACAAAGAATAAGATAAGTATTTTCTGGACAACATCCTGTCCAACTCATATTACACCATTCTGTCTTCTTCCTTTATAAAATTCCACTGCAGTGCATTTCCATCCATTGACTTGCTCATATCTTATTTTAAAGGGGGAAAAAAGTAGTAAAATTTAATTTCTTCCAGCTAAATATTCTGGCAGATATTTAGCACTAAAAACATACACCATCATTTAGAATAAATGTTCAAAATCAGTTCAATCCATGCTCACTCAAAGCATTATCATGAACATTAGCAGTTACTTCCCTTAACTCTTGTTAACACATATCTAAGCTTGACAAAAAAAGTGTATTTTTAATTTCTTTGAGCAGCAAAACTAAAACTGCATCGTAAAAAGGGCAACAGCAGGTCTGCCAAACCAACTTTATATTTTAAAGTTGTTTTTGATAAGAAAGACTATGCTTTGTACGTGTGGAGGAGAAAAATTAAGAGAGTGCTCAAGTATATATTTGTAGTTTTGATGGAAATGAATATTTTACTGGTTCCTAATATGATGTTTATAACCAACCCAAAAGTTCTAGATACTGAGTCATCTCTGGCTTTTGGCTTGGCTTAAACTGAATGGATTTTACAGAGTTTAGCAGGCATCGTTCGCACTTTTCTGGCACACACGAATACCATTATAGTGTTTATGCATAAACACGCAAGCAAACAGAATCCGTCGGAGAGCAAAGAATGTGCATGCAGTTACAATACTCACTTAGCACTGCATATATTATTCTGGATCTCTCCCACAGTCTCTTCCTTTTTTTTTTTTTTTTCCTTTTTTTAAATCTCCATCAACGCAGCAAGCATCTGTAGCCTTGGCTCCACAGAACCTAGTAGAAAGACCATGGACTGTACTTCTTCATCATCTGTATCTTGACCTGTGGGAGGTTTCCTTACTGGTGCCACTGCTGTCTATACTTGATAACTGTAATTTCCCTGACAATATGATACCATGTTCAACTGTCCCATTCTTCTGAGCTCTGTGTTAATAAACTCGCAGGTGACTGCAAACATTTCCCCACTGTTAAGGAGAGGTGCATTGCACTGCCCAAATTGAGTGAGAACACTGCTAAGTGGCTAAAAGGAAAACGATAGTAAGTGAAGCAGGGTGTATAATATGCCTTTTGAAATGCAGGCGAATTAATTTTTAAGTATGAATCCCTTCTATATAGACTTTCCGTTATCAGGAATAAAATTAAAGAATTGTCTGCTTAACTGGGGAAAACACACAATATAAACGGTAAGAAAAACCATGAGTATATTCCTTCCTTAGTATCCATTACTATGAACTCACAAAGACTCTTTCTTCAGTGAGCATTTGCGTGCTAGAAGTGATGAATATTTCAGATGTTCTTTCAAAATAAACATGGAGAACCTAATACAGTAGTTGTGGCACAGAAGAATTTCCTAAATGACTCCTCCTACAATAACCAGAAAGGAGCACTAAAACACAAGTGTGGAAAATGACAAATAGTAAACGAAAGGTACAGTATAATAGTATGTATCACTTTTAGCCTTAATGTTTGTATCTGTCCAACCTGTTTTCAACAGGAAAGCATTGCTTACTTTCACCCTGTACCGAAGAATTCATAAATATGTTGGTCCTAAGAAGCACAATTAGAAAGAGCACTAGCCCTCCAAGTAAATAAATGTACATCTATAAAACTTAGCAGGATTAGAGAAATACTAACTCCGTGTATTATTGGAAGAGAGTACTACAAATCCTCCTCTAAGAAAGTTTACAATACTATTTGAAGCAAAATACAAAGGGGGGGGAGGGAAGGAAATATTCTGTTAAAATCTTGATGTCACTGGTTAAAACACAAGTGTGGAAAATGACAAATAGTAAACGAAAGGTACAGTATAATAGTATGTATCACTTTTAGCCTTAATGTTTGTATCTGTCCAACCTGTTTTCAACAGGAAAGCATTGCTTACTTTCACCCTGTACCGAAGAATTCATAAATATGTTGGTCCTAAGAAGCACAATTAGAAAGAGCACTAGCCCTCCAAGTAAATAAATGTACATCTATAAAACTTAGCAGGATTAGAGAAATACTAACTCCGTGTATTATTGGAAGAGAGTACTACAAATCCTCCTCTAAGAAAGTTTACAATACTATTTGAAGCAAAATACAAAGGGGGGGGAGGGAAGGAAATATTCTGTTAAAATCTTGAAAGTGTCACTGGTCAGATGCCCTCAATCACTACCAATCATTAAATTAAAGGCTGAAGTTATAATTCAATAGATACAACAATACCACCTCACACGGCAGTCCCACCAATAACAAAAGCCAGGTTAGAGTCATACACCAGAACGTCGTATTTCTAAAAATGCCCTTGTAAAGAAGTCTGCAAATTATGTCGCTTTTTCTAAGGTTACTGCAGCTGACAGAGGTATGAAACGTCACTTAAGATGACCAACCTCCCTCCTCCCCGCTAAAAAACAAAGGAAAACCCCACCAACCCCAACCTAGAGGTTTCATGAGATGCCTTCAGGGGTACCATGCCTTAGTTGGTGCATGCAAGTGAATAAACTCTTACAAAATACACTTCAGCACCACAAAACAAAGACAAATACTAGAAAACACAAAGAACAGTACCTAAAACCAAAGAGGAAACACTGCAGAATCAATTCAGCAAAGGAAAAGTCAAACCAGAAATAAACACAAGTCCAATGACTAACATATGATACTATGCACACACAAAAACAGACAAACTTTTCCGTTTAAGAGTCAAGGAAAAAAAAACTCTTCAGAAGGCTTTTTGGAATGGAGAGGAATGACAGCGTCATATTACATAGCAACCTGCCCTGCCACCAAATCAGAAACAGTGGTAAAATGAACTCAAAGAGAAAAATCTGAAGACCCACTATGAACCCCTACTGTAGACAGACCCTAATACAACATATCTGCCTATCACCAAAAAAAAGATTTTTCACGCTTCGACAGGTGTCATACCAATTACGTGTTACAAAACTGAATGACTCATTTACAAACAGTCCTTATTTTGCACGCTACTATCAACTTAACCGCACAAAACATAAAACTTTAGCATTTGTTCATTCTAAATACACCTATGCGCTGTGTTACAAGAGCAGCAGTAATTAAAATGAGTAATTAAAAGCATGTCCATCACTTAATGAAAAATGCTAATTTTTTAATGGATTTATTTATTTAATGAAAGAAAAAGAGCACTTGCTAGTCTTGTACAATCACAATTATTGTTAGCATACAGGGAGGTGGTTTGCACAACTACTCCCACATGAAGAGACAGACACCCTTGAGGTTGGACATACTTGCAAGTCAAATAAGGTTATTTGCTCCTTGCTTAATCTTAACTTTTAACTTTTCTGTGTCTTACAAAATTGTAACTCCTTTAACCAAGTTTCTGTAACATGTAACAGTGAAGACAAAACTGATAAGAAATTGGGATGTTTTCAAATAAAATTACACTACGGACACACAGCATTTATCAAATCCATTATGTCCAATAACTTCTGAAATTTTAATGTACTGAAACAATACCAAATTCTCTTATTTACATTTAGCTGCTATAAGAGAATAGTTCTACAAAGTAAGTTTAACAACATATATTTTTCCATGTTTTCCTTAGCTTCATCTTACATGTACCATCCATCTTACTTGCACCATCCATCCTCCAACATGTTTGAAACAACAGAATTAATGACTTACTTCTATTCAAAAGATTCTGAAGACTAACTGAAAGATGCAATAGCAATGTGCTACCTGTTACTTTAAAAAACATTAGCCATGAGTGTAGTAAGTCTGTATTTTGTTATAAAAACTAAGACATTTCCATTTGAAACACCAATCTTTTTTTATCACAAAAGATAGCTATTTTAAAAATCTTGAAGAAACGTGTTACCACGTGAAACTGAAGGCTGTTGTAAGTTTACAGAATTTTCAGTTTCACTTGAGGTGTTGTGAAGTTTAAAGAAAAAAGGAAATCAAAACTACAGCAACGTATGCATAAAACTTCCACTTCTGTTAATTTGGTTTGCGTTATAACATTGACTTCTCGCATTAAATTTCAGATGCCATAAAATCTGTATACTAAAAACCCCACCAACATTCAACTGTTACCTTTGGAAGGATGAAACTAGGAATAGAGGAAATTAAAGTGAACCTTCAATGCAATGGAAAGCGAACTTTTTGGTCTGCAGACTTGTGCAGAAAGATTCAAATATGTATACAACATGCTGGAGAGAAAGAGGAAGAAAAGAACATGTTCTGTGCTTTTAAAATTAGCTAATCTCCTGAATAGCTGGAAAGCGCCGCTTCCCAGAAATTAACCCTTTGGTTTCCTAATCTATATGACAAGAAAACGCTGCTGAAAATGGGAGGGGATAAATATTAAAGCAATCGTCGGTTACCTTTAAAACTCTTTGCTTCCTCCTCTGAGGTCTTTTGTTTTCAGTTAGAACCTAAAAAAACATCAAATTGCAGAATAAGTTGTGGTCACAAAGGCAGATACCTCCGATTTTATTATCAAACTGCAATATTTCTTAAATACCCAGGATGCTTTACATGCGGCACTTTAGAGGGCTGACGGAGGCTCTACGCGGCCCCTCCACCGCCACCCCGACACACGGCGACGCCGGAGACGGCCGAGGGGAGAGGCCCCGCCGCCCCCC